GTGCTACACCAGGGCTGGGCACTGCAACAGACCTCACAAAAACACAATTCTGACTAACGCACTCTCCTGCCTAAAACCCCTCCAGTGACAGACTCCCCCATCGTTCTCTGCTCTGGTTTCAAGCCTTTTTGAATAGGAACTGCCCTTCCACACATATTTAAATTTTTTAATTGCTTTTCCATAAGCTTTGCAAAAACTTTGACCATTAGACCATGTGTGACTTGAGGCACTTGCCTCTAGTTCCCTCACCCACCCTGGTCACGATGACCACCCTTAACAGTACAGTGGTACTCTGCGCATAAAACTCATTCGTTTTCCAGAAATGGGTCATGCCATAGTACAACGTCTTCCGTCTTCCGCAGAACAATATACTATAGATCCACCTTGTCCTTTAAAAAAGCTACATAGTGTTGCATTGTAAGGATGAGCCATAGTTCATTTAACCCGCCTACTGACAGCCACTTGGGCTGTTTCCAGTGTTGCCCTTATCACAGACAATGCTGCAATTTACATCCTCAAATTTCTCTTTCTGGGACTGAGGATCCCTTTTTAACATTAAACCTTTCTCTGTGACAGTGGCTGAGCCCCGGGATCCAGGCGAGGGAGAAGCCCCGGACTGACAGGAAGCTTTCAGCCCCTCAGTGTGGCCCTGCTGTGCATCTGTCAGGGGCTTTCATCTCAGCTTCTGCACTGCCCTACATCTGAACGGCGACCTCGCGTCTCTGGGAGGGTTGGCAGTCTTTCAGGCTGCAGACAGTGAGGCTCTGTGGGAGGACTCAGGGGCCCTGCCCAGCATGTGGGAGCAATTTGGCCTAAGGGGGAGCTGGAGGTGCCGGTGGGGCCTTCAGATCTCTGTGAGGCGGCCTGGCTACCTCTTCCTGAAGTTTCTGGAAGGCAACCTGCAGGGTGCTGTGGGTTGCAAAATGGTCCCTGCTCTTCTAGCAGGGGGACCAGAGGACAAGTTATGTAACAGCTCTGCCTCAGATTCCTCATCTGTAAAATGGTCCCAGTAGGCCTTGCCCGCCCCCCCCCGCAAGGGACTCTGGGAAGATGAAATGAAATGATGTACATAAAGCACTGAGTGGAGTACCCAGCTGGTATAAGTACTCAATAAATGCTAACCTCGGCTATAATTAGCTAACCACCCCCAGCCACCAGGCTAGTGACCCTATCATACCCTTCATGCCCCCCAGTCTTTGCACAAGCTGCGCACTCTGCATGGAACGCCATTTCTCACCCTGCCTAAGACAATTCTAAGTCACTCTTCACTTACTGTGAGGTGTCTGCACCTCAATCTGACTCCTAGGCCAGCCTGTGGGTTCGCCCAGGGAACGGACCGGCTGGAGTCTCTGTGACCCCACAGAGTTTACTCTGCCTTGAGCTACTTTCATAATCACCCTGGAGGGTCATTTCTAGTCACCCGTCCGTGAGATTTGTGTGTTCAGGGACCAAATCGGATGCCCGTCTCTTCCAGGCCCAGCGTAAATGAGGTTCAGAAAGGATAGGGGGAGGGAGCAAAGAAAGAGAAAAGTTTGGGAGGGCAGGCCTGGAGTTGAGGCTGCACACCCTTCTCTGACAGTCCCCAGAAGCCACCATTCCGCAGGAGGCTGAACCAGGAGTTGGGGCAAGGGACTGGGGCAGTGAGCTGAGGGCCCTGGGGTAACTGTGTCCCCTTTGCCACCTCCCCCCGGTGTGGGGTGCGGGAACAAGAGTCCATCTCTCTCCTTCCCTCCACCCTTCCCCAAATCTCACCTGAGCCTCCTGCACCTTCCCTGCCTGGGTCTCCAGAGGGTCAGAGGCTGGGGGAGGAGGGGGAGCAGACGTGGTTACAGTGGGGGGCATGGTTAAGTTGGAATGAAGGGCTTCAAAGCAGTGGGGCAGGGGGCAAGAAGACCCACCAAGCTAATTACACTGGGGTGGGAGGTGGGGGTAAAAGTGGAGTAGAGGAAGGGAGGGGATGGGGAAAAGTAGACCATATTAGAGTAGACAGTGCTGTCAGGAGAAGTGGTTAGTGAGGGACAAGGAGGCGGGGGCTGGAAGGTTTAGGAGGGGGAGGAGAAAGCAAAGCATACAGGGCGTGGGGGAAGACTTAGAAGTGAGGAAGGAAATAGTGTGTGTGTGCGTGCTCGCGCGTGTGTGTGCAGGGAGGGTTAGGTTTACTAACAGAGGGAAATTTAAAAAGGAAGAGAGGAGATAAGAAAATACTCTGAGTAGAGACGGGTTTAGGAGAGGAGGTGCAGTGGGGATGGCATGTTTAGGAGCGGCACAGGAACTAGCGGGAAGAGATAGGAGAGGGGCACCAGGGGTCCGCTAGCATCCTACAGTTCCGCCTAACAACCAGGTACCCTTAGCAACCGGGTCCGCGGCAACCTAAGTCCTTAGCAACGAGGGTCCTCAGCAACCAAGGTGCGAGAAACACGCGATCATTAGGAACTCGGGGGACGTGGCAAACGGACCCTTAAAAGCTCGCGACCCAGAAACCCACCAACCTAGCAAGATGGATCACTTAGCAACGACCCTCCACCCCCGCCCCGAATCCCACTCCCCGCCATGCAGCCCCAACCTCCAGCCCCACCGTGCCCCTCCTCGGGCCCCGGGGCCTGCAGCCCTCCGCCAGGCCCCGGCGCGGCCCGACCCTCCCACCGGGGCCCCCGACTCACGGTCCGGCTCGGCCATGGGCGCGGGGCGGGGGCCCTCGGGGCTGTCACCGACGGCTCTGTCCCGTGACGGCACCGGAAACAGGAGGGGCAGAGATAGGGCAAAGAACTACAACTCCCAGCAGTCATCGAGGATGCATACGGGTTTTCGCACAGCGTCCGGCGCGCGCCGCTCTTATGTTAGGAAGCCACGCGAGGGCCGGACTACGAGTCCCAGAGCGCTCCGCGCAGGCAGCCATGTTAGTGAAGGGCGGCCGGAAAATGTGGGAATGGGTAGAGAGCCGCCGTCCATCTGAATACTCTGATTGGGCGTAGTGTGGTAAGTGGGCGGGACGTGTACCCTTTGGCTCACTCTGACTGGATGAGTCAAGGGGGAGTGTTGGGGAATTCCCCGCAGGGCGGAAGCACCAGGGCTTCAGGCAGAGCCTAGTTACAGGCGGGCGGCCGCTGGGGCCCCTGAGGCTTCGGGGGCCATGGCCGGGGTCGCGTGCTTGGGGAAAGCTGCGGAGGCCGACGAATGGTGCGACAGCGGTCTGGGCTCTTTGGGTCCGGACGCAGCAGCCCCCGGAGGACCGGGGTTGGGCGCCGAGCTGGGCCCGGGGCTGTCGTGGGCGCCCCTAGTCTTCGGCTACGTCACTGAGGATGGGGACACGTGAGTGAACTTTAGGCTGCCAGACCCGGCCCTAGGATCCGACGTCGGATTCCCTATTAGTCTCTGACTCCGGCTTCCTAACCTTTCACTCCTAAATCTAACTTCTGATGCTCGACTTTCTGATCTCTAACCCCCAAGCCCTAACCTTTAGTAAAACCAATTTCCTATCCAACTCTGACCCTAACCCCTTAATTTCTCTGACCTTCCTTTCTTGAACTGTGGTTCATAGAGCTCCACATCCCTATCCAGTGATCCCAAAACTCTTACTGACCCTAGTCCTGAGACTTGTTAGAGCTGTGGTTCAGACAGGCCCCTCCTGACCTCCTACCTCCAAATATGATCTTTGATCCTCAGCTCCTGATTCATGCGCCTTGAACTTGTATTTCCAAAATTAATACTTGGCCTTGACTCTAAGATTCTACCTTCTGAGCACTGATCTTCAGATCTTACATTCAAAGAGAAAATGTAAGCTCCACGAGCAGGGATTGATTGGTGTTTAATATTTATTGAACACTACCACCTTCCAGGCCCTTTTTAGGTGCTGTGATAAAGCAGTGAAGAAAACAAACAAAAACTTACACCCTTGTGGAGTTTACATTCTAGGGTAGGTATATAGACAGAAGGACAGACAGACTGACAGGAAGGAAGGGAGGGAGGGAAAAAAAAGGAGAGACAAGGAACGAAAGAAAGGGGCAGAGAAGGAAAGGAAGAAACAAAGAAAAATGAAAATATACAAGAAAGGCAGAAAAATGGTGTGTCTGAAGGGAGTAAGTTCTTTGGGGGAAAAAATAAAGCAGCAAAACGAGACCAGTAGATTATCTGGGGCAGGGCTCTCGGGGTAGAAGGAACAAGAGATGTAAGGGCCATGAGGAATTGCACTGGGGTTTTTTGTGTATTGCGTTTGCTGTTCTATCCACAGTGACTAAACAGTGCTTGACCTATGAGAGGCACTCAGGAAATAGTGATCTTTTCAAAGACCCCCGCTTAGGTTTCAATAATTTTCTTTATTGGTTTTTTGCTTTTTATTTCATTGATCTCTGTTCTGATTTTCATTATTGCCCTCTTCTGCTTACTTTGGGTTTAATTTGTTCTTTTTTTTTTTTTTTAGTTTCTTAAGGTGGCAGCTGAGATCATTTTGGGACCTTTCTTTTCTAGTATAGATGTTTCATGCTGTAAATTTCCCCTAGTAGTGCTTTAGCAGTCTCTCACAAATTCTGATATGCTGTGTTTTCATGTTCATTTAATTCAAGATACTTTGTAGTTTCTCTTTTGATTTCTTCTTTGGCCAGTGGATTATTTAGAAATATGTTATTTAGGGGCGCCTGGGTGGCGTAGTCGGTTGAGCATCTGACTCTTGGTTTCCACTCAGGTTGTGATCTCGGGGTCCTGGGATGAGCCCCCTGTTGGGCTCTATGCTCAGTGTGGAGTCTGCTTGGGATTCTCTCTCCCTCTCCCTCTCCCTCTGCCCCTCCTGCTTGTGCTCTCTCTCTCTCTAAAATAAAGGAATAAATATATTTTTTTAAGATTTATTTATTTGGGGGCGCCTGGGTGGCTCAGTCATTAGGCGTCTGCCTTCGGCTCAGGTCATGATCCCAGGGTCCTGGGATCGAGCCCCGCATCGGGCTCCCTGCTCCGCGGGAAGCCTGCTTCTCCCTCTCCCACTCCCCTGCTTGTGTTCCCTCTCTCGCTGTGTCTCTCCCTGTAAAATAAATAAATAAAATCTTAAAAAAAAAAAAAGATGTATTTATTTATTTTGGGGGGTAGGGGCAGAGGAGAGGGAGAGAGAAACCCAAGCAGGCTCTGTGCGGAGCCTAATGCAGGGCTTGTTCCCATGACCCTGAGATCACGACCTGAGCTGAAACCAAGAGTTGGTTGCCCAATCAAATGCCACCCAGATGCCCCTAAAGAAATTAAAAAAGAAGAAGAAGAAGAAGAAATATGTTATTTGGTTTCCAGATAGTTGGAAAGTCTTCCAAATGTCTTTCTTTTATTAATTTTTAATTTAATTGCATCGTAGACCAAGAAGATACTTTGTATGACTTGAATCCTCTTAAATTTATTGAGAATTATTTTATGGTGCTGAACGTTATGTGTGTACTTGAAAAGAATGGGTATTCTGCTGTTATTAGGTGTAGTGTTCTCTAAATGTCAGTTAGAGGGCCTATTGGCTTATAGCTTTACCATAGTTTTATATAGCCTTGCTGATGATTTCTATCTCCTTTTTCTATCAGTTATTGGGGGGGGGCATTGAAATCTCCAACAGTCATTGTGGATTTGTCTGTTTCTCCTATGCTCTGTTATTAGGGGCACAAATGTTTAGAATTATTATGTTCTCTTGCTTAATTGACCTCTTTATCATTATGAAGTAACCCTCTCTATACCTGGTAATATTCCTTGCTCTAAAGTCTAGTCTGATATTAAAAGACTCACTGCTGCTTTCTTTTGACTAACTGGTGTTAGCATGGTATATCTTTTCCCACCCTTTTATTTTTAACCTACCTTTTAATACTTTTATTTAAAGGGTGTTACTTGTAGGGAGCATATATAGTTGGTTTTGCTTTTTTATTCAGTCTGACAATTTCTGCCTTTTAACTGAAATGTTTAGACCATTTACATTTAATTATTGATAGAGTCATGCTTAAGTTTACCATCTTATTGCTCATTTTCTACTTAACACCTCTTCTTTGTTTACCTTTTCTTCTTTTCTACCTTCTTTTGGAACCTGTAAATTTTGTCCCATTGTATTCTTTTGTTGGCTCATTAGCTTTATTTATTTAAGGTTTTATTTATTTTTATTTTATTTATTTTAGCAGGGGGGAGAGGGAGAGAGAATCTCAAGCAGACTCCCCACTGAGGGTGGAATCCGATGCGGGGTGTCATCTCACAACCCTGAGATCATGACCTGAGCTGAAATCAAGAGTCAGACACTTAACCGACTGAGCCACCCAGGCGCCCCTTAAGATATTGTTTTTATGTAATCGCTACACCCAACATGGGGCTCGAACTCACAACCCCGAGATCAAGAGTCACATGCTCTACCGACTGAGCCAGCCAGGAGTCCCTGGCTTTATTAGCTTTAACTCTTTGTTCTGTTGTTTAAATGGTTGGCAAACTGTGGTCTCCAGGCAAAATCTAAAGCCATCCATCTGCTTTTGTATGGCTGTAAGCTATGAATGGTTTTTACATTTTTAGTTATGTTTATTTATTTATTTATTTATTTATTTATTTATTTATAAACGATTTTATTTATTTATTTGACAGAGAGAGACACAGCGAGAGAGGGGACACAAGCAGGGAGAATGGGAGAGGGAGAAGCAGGCTTCCCGCCGAGCAGGGAGCCCGATGCGGAGCTCGATCCCAGGACCCTGGGATCATGACCTGAGCCGAAGGCAGA